CCTTTGCAACTGTTTGATTTTTGTTATAGCAGCCCCCTCCCATCCCCCTGAGGGAAATGTACCTGTCGCCACTGGTTTAAATGCAAACTGGATTTGGAAAACAAGGAAGATTAGAAACATCTACCGTTAATTTGCAACAGCAGTCCCTGCGTAACAATGTGTTTTGGACTAAATATATTAATGGATTGGATCGTCTGGACTTTAACAATTCAATTGCTTGTTGGTTGCTGGTCAAAAAAAAGAGGCAAGGATTATACCTGCGGTTGTGACTATCTCAAAATGGTTTGCATCAATCAAATCACAAGACTTTCGTGTACCAACTTAAACATAGCAGTTGTGTATTTAACAGGCTATCAATAAAGGTTTTAACAGACTGATTAAGATCAATCTGTATGAGTGACTCATCTTTTGGATCTTCTTTCCACAAGCTTATGATCCAAACTACTTTAACATGTGCTGCCATGTTTTAATAAATCATACAGACACTTACACTTCCTCACACCAGGTTTCAGCCACTGCTCTCCACAGTGTTCCACCCTGGAGGAAGAAACAGTTAGAATGAACCTCATAAAACTTCACTCAGATCCACATAAAAACTAAACAGCTGCATTTTTAAAACACCTTTCATACACACACTCAATTAACTGTACACAAAATACTCTAAAACTCAATTCAAATGAGGAAAAAATCCCCAAAAAACCTTTAATGGGAAAACATAATGGGAGAAAAGTCACAATGAGTAACAGGACAGGACAAGTACTGATTTTTTCAGTGGTAACAGAAGCTGTGGTGGGGTTTTTAGGAGCAGTTTACATGAAGTTTTATAAACTACATTTGGGAATAAAGACCACACCTCAAACACATCCCATTCCCGCTAGTATTTAAGCACACCTTATCCATTCTCTTCCCCTCTGAATTATTTTTCACATCCTTCCCTCCCACCCACTCTCTTGTTTGAATGCAGGAACCACTGGGGGCTCTATCCGCAGCAGAGCACATGTAGAGACGGTTCCCCTACACAGAGTCTCAACTCCCCTGGTTAACGACATTCCAGGACACATGAAGAGACAGCTCACCTGCTCTGAGTCTTCTGCTTACCTGCCACCAGCTGACTCCGATACATCGTTCTCATCCATCCATCCATCCCTCACCTCAACCCTCTATCCCTCACTTTTCCATTCCCTCATCCATCACTCTTATCTCTTCATTTCCTTACCCTCGACTCTCATCCCCACATCCCTCGACCCCTTACTCTTCTTCCTCATCTCTTCATCCCTCCATCGGGATCCCTACATTCTGCCATATAATCTCGGCTCTTCTCCATCTGTATCATACAATAAAATATCCTAAATCCATATATATGATGCGTGGTTTTTGTTAGTGAATCAATGCTTGTCAATCAAAGAAATATATTGATATAAGAGTTGTTATTTCTAGTCAACTTATAACAAGCAGTGTATCGGCAAACATCTCAGGATTCATACTGGAGCAGAAGATTACTGATGTATGTAAAACAATTTGCCCTATTGTGCAGAAGCTGGTTAAACACCAAGGGCGTAGAATTTTGCAGGGATCTAGCAACTGCTTAAATGTCCTTAGAAATGTTTTCACAACAATTAAAACACTGTTGTCCATCAGTGTCTGGTCAATGTATCTGGTACACAAACTCAGCTCTCATTCCCTAATACAAGTCCAATAAGTTATATAATAAGTCGACTGATCCATACAGCATCAACATGAAAATTGTACTTTTCATGCAGAAAAGCTGATAAAAACTTGTAGCGTGAGTTAAGACAATGTACAAGACTACATAAAAAAAACGTCCTCAAATGTCATAAAAAAAAGGCCTTAATCATCTGCTGATGAAGTTTAAGTATGATGAAGTATGTAATGTATCTAAAACACTGGAAAAGCTACTAAATGGACCTTGAGCTAAGCTTGTTTTGTCAACTGTTGTTTCCAAGGTCAAACTATGGTATTATGGTTTACAAAACTTGACTATTTATCAAAAATAATGTGTGTTATCAGCATTAGTGAGTGATAAACACCAGATCCTGGTCTGAAACTGGTCAGAAGGTCAGTCTAAGTGGGGGCAGCAACTCTCAGGTTATAAGTCTTCACTGTTCAGGGCTGATGGTTCAGACTGAACCGACCATGTGAGACAGAGAAACAGTGTGTGCTTTTGTTATTTGTTAGTACCTGAGAGTGTCTAGTCTCCAAAGTGGATCCTTGTGTCCAGCAGATAGCAGCTTTTCTACTGAGTCTCCTGGATGATTGTAGCTCAGGTCCAACTCTCTCAGATGGGAGGGGTTGGATCTCAAAGCTGAGACCAGAGAAGTACAGCCCTCCTCTGTGATCAGACAGCCTGACAGCCTGGAGAGACACACAAACTAATATTACATTATTATTATTATTATATCCATCCATAGTCAACCAATTACCCTCGGTACAGGTTCGCGGGGGGATGGAGCCAATTGCAGCTGACACCCTGGACAGGTTGCCAATCCATCGCAGGGCCACACACAGACAAACAACCAGTCACAATCATGCACTAGTCTGCATGTCTTTGGATGGAGCACCCGGAGAGTACCCACGCAGACGCGGGGAGAACATGCAAACTCCACACAGAAAAGCCAGGGCAACCGGGGTTTGAACCCGCAATCCTTCTTGCTGCTGATGTGAGGCGATAGCGCCAACCACTGCACCAGCATGTTTCCATCTATTAGCAAAACCTTTTTGACTACATCCATTTCACACTAAAGTAACATTTCAATCAATGTTTCCATCAACCCACATCAGCAGACCCAGCATCAGAAGCAGAAAACATCACCACCTCCATGCCTGAGTTGCCATTTTCTTCAGTGGTTTATCACTCCTTAACATTTAAGAACATTTCACCTGACAAATCGTCCGCCTCACAACAAACAGCAGATTTCAGCATTAGCACGTTCCAGCAAGGCACCCCAACAACCAGCCTTTCCTTCAGCCGTCTGCCCACTCCCACTAACCGCCAACTGGACCACACCAGACTGTGACAGACTGTGACAGCATTATCTTAAAAGTCTAAGGGAAGGTACTTTAGTGCTGTTCTTTGTTGGTGTTTCAAAGAAGAATGTAGTTCTAAAAAAACTGATGCTAGTAGCATATATGCTAAACTCTTTAGCATCATTGTTTAGAGTGAAAAGTCACTTCTCACACTTGTCATCACACAAGTCTAGCATTGGGGCAAACCCTTAGCTAATGTTGTAGCTGCCAGTACTTCGTCATAGGATTGGTGATTGGTGCAAATGAATAATTTTACAGACACAATCACATAGCTTGAAGCCTGGCAAGAGGTATTCTTGTGATCTTGCAAGTTCCAGGGTAAGCAATTTGACCTAGCTGGAGCTTCTGGCACCGTGATGCCAGCACTCCCAGCAACTACAACAGCTGGCTTAAGTTGGGGTAATAGACACTGGGATGCCCACCCCCCCTCCCGCAGCCCACCTCCCCTCCCGCAGCCCACCTCCAGCAACCATGGAAGCTTGCTCTAGTCAGGGATTCTGGCATCGGCATTTCAGGATCTTTACCATTCCAGCCTTACAAGCCCTAGCAGTGCTCATCAACTGGAACCATTGGCACAGCTTTCCTCCACATCTGTTTCCATTTTTAACTCCAGTCAACAAGCAATCATCAAATTCACCGCCTCCTTATCTCATCCTTCCAATCGTCATCCTAACTCTTTCATCTCCCGTCCTTCAGCTCCTAATAGTCTACACAAACAGATAGTAGATGGTATTAGGTCTTGCTCTTATTACTCATTCTAGAAGTTTATAAGCCAGGCGCCCTATGCAGATACCTGTTCTACACCGCTTCCTCCATATTCTGCCATGATGCAAAGCAACACATAAATTAAGCCATAAAACCCCTAATCATCGACTGCCAGAACTCTATTGTCAACACTCAGCTCGGAAAAGTTTCCATCACTTTCACTACCAGTGCAACTGAACCGTATGGTTGTTTGATCTCATAAACATGTCCTGTTTTGTCAAAACATTTATTGATGACGTAAATCATCAATGTTCACCATAGCTTTTTCTCAAAACTTCTAACTAGCAGGCCTGGCCCGGCCTCTAACCCAACTAACCCATCTCCTCTTCTTCGCTCTCGTATTCATGTCCCCCCACATATTTCTCTATCTTGTTTCCTTGTTCCTTATTGAGGAGGTCCATTGCGCCTGTTGCTACAGCGGTTTTCACACCGAAGCTTCCCCACAATCAGAAGTGAATCAAAGCTGTACAGCAAGTCCAAGCCTCGCGCACAATCTTTTACCCAACATCCTACAGATGTTGGGTATTCTTTTAATAGACAATTAACAGCAAGCAAGATTTCAAGGGTTATCTGTTAAAGAGAAGCTGAATCCTGACCTGAGATTTTCCAGTGTACAGTATGGCTTCTCCAGACCAGCAGAGAGCAGCTTCACTCCTGAATCTTGCAGGTCGTTGTTACTCAGGTCCAGCTGTCTCAGACTAGAGGACTGGGAGCTGAGAACTGAGGATAGAGCTTTGCAGCTTCTTTCTGACAGATTACAGCCACTCAGCCTGAATGACAGTTAGTGATAAATACAAACACCAATACTGTTTCTGTCATCTACAACGTACAACACATCACATTTGTAGGGTTGTCCTTACTGAGTTGATGAGTAGCACAAACATACGTATACTACTGAGATCTATCGGACATTAATGGGATACCGATTACTTACACAAATTAATTTGAGCCTTGAATTATTTTTTTAATAATTATAGCATTCATCTGTGCAGGCATAATAAAACTAAAACAATGAAACATTTTCAATTAAGAAACAAATAAATTTGTTACTAAATCCTGTGACTACCCATTGACTAAAACCTGTATTATTTAAGAACAACCCTACATGTGTGACAGTCTCTGCAGTTACATGTGCACTTACAGAGCTTTTTGGAGGCTTTGACCACTGGCAGCAGCCTCAGAAGAGCCTCCTCTGAAGCAGAGTATTTCTTCAGGTCAAACACGTCCAGATCTTTTTCTGATGACAGTAAGATGAAGCCCAGAGCTGACCACTGAGCAGGAGACAGTTTATCTGTGGAGAGACTTCCTGAACTCAGGAACTGTTGGATCTGCTCTACTAGAGAACGTGCCTTAAGTTCATTCAGACAGTGGAAGAGATTGATGTTTCTCTCTGGAGACAGATTCTTGCTTATCTTCTCTTTGATGTACTCAACTGTTTCCTGATTGGTCTGTGAGATATTTCCTGTGTGTGTCAGCAGGCCTCGTAGGAGAGTCTGATTGGTCTTCAGAGAAAGACCCAGGAGGAAGCGGAGGAACAAGTCCAGGTGTCCATTTGGACTCTGTAAGGCCTTGTCCACCGCATTTTGGTAGAGAAGTGTTGGTTTAGGTTTGTCGCTTAAGAGTTTAGACCACATACCAGGTTGTTCTTCTGCCAGCAGATTAACACCAGATTTGAAGAAGGTCAGGTGGACATGAAGAGCAGCCAGAAACTCCTGAACGCTCAGATGGATGAAGCAGAACATCTTGTCCTGGTACAACTCGCTCTCCTCTCTAAAGATCTGTGTGAACACTCCTGAGTACACTGAGGCTGCTCTGATATCGATGCCACACTCTGTCAGGTCTGATTCATAGAAGATCGGGTTGCCTTTCTGCAGCTGCTCAAAAGCCAGTTTTCCCAGAGACTCGATCATATTTTTGCTCTTTTTATTCCAGTGTGGATCTGTCTCAGCTCCTCCATCATACTTGATGTTCTTCAGTTTAGACTGCACTACCAGGAAGTAGATGTACATCTCAGTCAGGGTCTTGGGCAGCTCTCCTCCTCTCTGGTCTTCAACACCTCCTCCAGAACTGTAGCATGATCCAGCAGAAGACTGGGATATGGCACATGATGTGGAGGCTTCGTGATGTCTTGATGTGGGAGATGATTCTGCTGGCCTGCTCCTCATCTCTGAATCTCTTCCTGAAGTACTCTCCTTCTGTGGGTCAGTGAACCCTCTGACCTCTGTCACCATGTCAACACACTCAGGAGGGATCTGATTGGCTGCTGCAGGTCGTGTGGTTATCCAGAGGCGAGCAGAGGGAAGCAGTTTCCCCTGATGAGGTTTGTCAGCAGCACATCCACTGAGGTGGACTCTGTAACATCAGTCAGGACCTCATTGTTGTGGAAGTCCAGAGGAAGTCGACACTCATCCAGACCGTCAAAGATGAACACAACCTGGAACTCTTCAAAGCTGCAGATTCCTGCTTCTTTGGTTTCAGGAAAGAAGTGATGAACAAGTTCCACCAAGCTGTACTTTTTCTCTTTCAGCACATTCAGCTCTCTGAAAGTGAATGGAAATGTGAACTGTATGTCCTGGTTGGCTTTGTCTTCAGCCCAGTCCAGAGTGAACTTCTGTGTTAAGACTGTTTTCCCAATGCCAGCCACTCCCTTTGTCATCACTGTTCTGATTGGTTCATCTCTTCCAGGTGGGGATTTAAAGATGTCTTCTTGTCTGATGGTTGTTTCTGGTCGGTCTGGTCTCCTGGATGCTGTTTCAATCTGTCTGACCTCATGTTCATCATTGACCTCTGCAGTCCCTCCCTCTGTGATGTAGAGCTCTGTGTAGAGCTGATTCAGAAGGGTTGGGTTTCCTGCTTTAGCAATCCCCTCAAACACACACTGATACTTCTTCTGCAGGTTAAATTTGAATTGACGTCGACAAACTGCAGCAACGGCTCCTTAATGAAAAAACAACAATTCAATGAGGAGATGTTTGGCTCGGGCAGAATTAGCTTTTGATACTGACACAGCGGTGTATAGTGTAAAAAAGCGGAGAGCAGGGGTGATGGGGTGAGCTCTTTCTGCATCATGTGCATGCTAGTAGTCCAAGTGGAAACAGCAGAGAGAGAGTTGTAGTTTATACGCTCTGTACAGTGCCAGAAACAGTAATGAAGGCAATGAAAAGGAGAAAAAATTGTGAACATTTGTCATAAATTAGGAGAAATAGAAGAAATCAATACAGAGAGGGCAATGAAAACAGGAGTCTCTCGTGAAAATTGTGAGGGTTGGCAAGTTGTTAGAAGTCAGTGCACAGCATGTATAGCATGTAGCCTACTTAGACAAGTCTTGCTGAACACATATGACCCAATGACACTTGTTGTTGCTAGTCCCAACACTGGGCCTGAAATTTTATCCCACCAATTGCAGTCGCCGATGAGTTGCTCCTTTTTGTGAGCATAGCGAGTGGCAGGTGATTGCAGAGGTTAAGCCATGAAGTGTAGGAGTAAATGTACAGTGTAGGTTGGTGGTGGGGGTATGGGTGTATATGCCTTTGATGTGAGAGACCCTGGTTCAGTTCCCACTGTGACACATTCACAGGGCTTAAGTGACACTTCAGCCCTGGATATACTTGCTTTTAACTACGTGTTTGCGTACGCAAGATGGCCGTTTCTTTGGAGCGTAGGTTGTGCACGTCCCCAGGAATTAATGCTACGCGTATGTAGTTGGCGGTATGCAGTTGGTTTGCTAACCGAAATTAAACGCAAAAGAATAATAATAAGAAGAAGGTCAGCAGCAGACTCAGAAAAGATTTATGGCAGGATCTTTAAATTAAAACTCCTGGAGCTAGTCCGCAATTACCGAGATCGTTATGATGTCTCACTAAAACCACAACCTCCTTGAGTGTTGTTTGTTGTGCAAATTCGGATGTTGACAGAGTAAGATAATCTGGTGTCGGCGAGGGATGAACTGGTCCCTCTAGTGGATTCAGGTTTAATCCTCCAGGTACACTCAAAGTACGCAGGCAAGTATGTGAACAATGCCGTTTGCGTCACCTACGCATTGTTAAAAAGTAAGTCTATCCAGGGCTTAGTGCATGCGACCTCTGACGTATATAGCAATTGTAAGTCACTTTGGATAAAAGCTTCAGCTAAATGAATAAATGTAGGTTACAGTTTGTCAGTAATTAAAGCCTACAATTGTAACCTGGGTTGTTTACAAGCTGCTAGAAAATATGTTTTAGATGATGTCAGGAATTTTTACATGGCATAGTCCACCTATGTTGAGGGTGTTCAATCAATTCATCATCTTAATACAGCATCTTCATGAAGTTAATTTGTTAACTTAGGTTCAGGAACAGCGGCCACGCCTCAACAACTCCACCAATCACATGTCAAGGCTACGTATACCCGCTCTGCTAGGCCTGCCCCGCTTGTTTCAGATTGCTCGTCCCACCCTCCCTCTCCCTTTATCCATTCATCCTACACACATCCACTCATCCTCTGTTCCCTCCATCCACTCATCCCTGCTCCCTTCATCCCCTCTTCCCTTATCCCCTCATCCCCCATCCCTGCTCTCCTCATCCCCTCATCCCCCATCTCTGCTCCCGTCATCCCTTCATCCCCCTATCCCTTCATCCCATCATTCCCCCATCGCTGCTCCCCTCATCCCCCTCATCACTCCATCCCTGTTTCCCTCATCCCCATCCCTTCATCCCATCATCCCCCCATCCCAGCTCCCCTCTTCCCTTCTCCACTAATCCCTTCCTATTCAATCAGTTGCACAGCTTTCTCATGTGTCATCTAGGCACCGTGTGGGGGGCTTGAAATAAGCTCGGGTGAAAACACTTCCAAGACGGAACCACCACTCTGAGTCTCTGCCCTGTCTTCTGTACACCCTCTCAGACCAGCCTATCAGACGACACTCTTCTTCCACCATCACCCTTCCTCTCTATATGCATTAATCCATCCTCCCTAATCCATGCATTCCCATTTGCATGTACCTCTAAATCACACATTGTTGTGGCGTGTTCCTTGATTGTGAAGATCAGTTTAATATAAAGATGTCTTCGAGTTTTTGGCAGTATTGAAAGTCATACCATCGGGATTTCTAAATGCAGCACACCGTAATATCGTGATACTACTCTACCCTAGTTGATAGTGGTGTGATGAGATCTTGTTCCACGAGATCTCGTAACAAGAGAATGCATTGTTACAGTAAGGCAGAGTGAGCATTGTGTGACTGGGGTGAGATAGACTCAGCGATGGCTTAGAAGGAACAGAAAAAGTAAAGAATTGTGACGGAATGCAAAAGTATTGCGTGGGACTGTAAAAGTACTGCAAAGTTACACAAAGTATGGCGAATGAACACAAAAGTAGTCCTCAAAGATATTTTGCTCTGACCTTCAGGGGACTCATTCTCATGAAACAAATATTGTGTATTTTTTCATCAGTGTATCGTCAAACCCCTACTAGTGGATGTTAGTAATAACATAACAAAAGTCTTGTGTGAAAAAGCCTCTTACTGCTCTGCAGACAATCAGCCAGCTCCTTTTTCCTTTGCACATGGAGTCTGTGGAGAAAGCAAAGTGTGATGATTTAAAATATCATCAGATAAACATTTTAGAGCATGTTGCTTTTGGGGACATTTTGATTAAGTGATTAAGAGGCATTACTTGATATAATTTTCTGGAACCAATCATGCCACCGTCAGGTTGATCTAAATAAATGCTCAGTGTGATTAGTGAAAAAGTATCTGGTTCATCAAACCATGGTTTGTTTGTTTTTAACAAATTTTATGGAAAACTGGATTGTGCCTAAGTAGCCTACTAAATCTGGTGCTGATACAAAACTGAAAAGTCAAGAGAACGGAAATTTATTTTACAAAACTTTGTTTAACTCAGCAGATTTTCATAAAAGTGGTCACTTTACACAAGTCATACAAAATATTATGAAACATTCATGCTAGCTGGGATTATGCTAACTTACTGAGACCCAGAAGAAGGTTGTCCTTTAAACACTAAAGGCTGACCCTTGGACCGGTCACTCCTTATGGACACACAGCTGGATCCAGGTCCAGCAGAGTCTGGTCTCTGCTGCTTCTCTGGGCTTCAACACAACACACACAGAGCTTTGAATAATGATGGTGGAGAGATCTAAATGCTGAGCTCTGACATGGAGAAGAGTCCTGGACAGTTAGAGATCCTCATCTCACCTCTGAGCTTTGGTCTGGCTTGCCATGTTCCCCCCACAGAGTGCTTTTAGAGGGAGGGACTCCCTCCTCCGTCTCCTCACACTGATTCATAGCAGAGCCCACACCTTCACACAAACACAAAGACATGCTGTCAGAGCACAATTATTGGTGGTGGTTGAGGTGAGTCCCCCCCACTTCACTGTGAAGCGCTTTAAGTTTCTATGATAAAGCGCTAGATAAATGTAATTCATTATTATTATTATATCATTTATCATTACTTATTACGCTGGATTCCCGTCCACATCAAGAGACTCTCTACCTTCATCTGGAGCAGAGATCCAACTGTTGGCCCATTCATTGATTAGCTGATACAGTAACTTGCAAGATGGTAGTTTTGGATGCGTTTTAGTCATTTTTCCAGAATAAAAAACAAACACAAGCTGATTTAAGCTTCTTTAATATGAGATGCTGCTGCTTTTCTCTGCGTCCTGTCTTTTAATTTAAACCTTTTGTGTTGTTGGATTTCAGACTTGTGAAGTGGTCTAGTCTAAACAATTGATTATATGTCAGAAAAACTGACAAACTGTGATTATAAACTGTGATTATAATGAGAAGATGCTTCTTATTGATTCATGAGGAAGAATCAAAGCAGTCTGACGTGCAGCCAGAAAGCCAGTGAGACAGAATCACAGAGCAGCTGGTGTAGTTTTGCTATCAGTCCACTAGATGTCCTCGTGCTTTGTGTATCTCAGATCAAGTCTGGAACTGTGAAACAACAGCTGGAATGCTCTTAGTATTGAACAGTTTCTTATATTTCAAACTGGTTATTATTATTCCAAAGCACTTTAGTTTTTGCAGACTCAGAGACTACACAAGGGAGAAACCATCCATCTGTAATTATTTGGGGTTCAGTGTTGTGCCCAAGAACACTTCACAATGTGGACAGGAAGAGCAGGGCCTCAAACCACCGACCCTGTGATCAGTGGACGACCTGCTCTACCCGCTGAGCCACAGCTGACCGTAAACCAAATATGTTATTGTCACAGTCAACTGCTACATAATAAATGCATCGATGCCACTGCTGAGGATGACTTTCATCATTCAAACTTAATTTCATTCATCTGAACGCAATAATTTTCTAAAATAGAAATTTTACACTCATCAGCTTTGCCCTTCCCACTCACGCAGACACCTCTGACCGTCAGAGGAGCAAGTTTGAAGCGACACCTTCAAATTTTCTGAAAGAGTTTCTCAAACCTAAAATAAATAATGACATTATACAGGAACCACAAAGAGAATTCAGATGTAGCAGATATCCACTTACTTAACTTATTTCCATGAATGTCTGTCAGTGCAGCAGCTCATCAAGTGTCCCGATTTGGTCTATGTAGAAAAAGAGGGTTAGATTCAGTCTCACTCCACCCAGCAGTATGAAAACATTGTAAACCAGTCCAAAGTTCAGCTTTTACAGTTTAATCATGAGTTTATCTCGAGTTGCGTGCCAAGCAAGTCTTTGTTTTCTTATTTGCTTTCTCCTATTTTCTGTCTCTTTCCCTCCCCTTTGTTTTCTCTTGTGTCCTTTCCAGGTGGATTCCAGAATGATTGGCTCCCACCTGTGCAGTCTGGCCTGGCTGCTCTTTGGTCAAACTATTCTGAAGCTGGCCAATCATCATGCCAAGCCGACCAATAAAAGAAGTCTGGAAGAGCTTACTCTCTCTGACCCTGTGATGAATAACAGTAAATAAATCACCTTTAATTGTCACTGCCACTCTGACTTGATTTCTTTGGTTGTTGTGTTGTTGTCTCCTTTTTTATTTCTTAAGTGACGTAACAACATGAATATTTTAGTCCCTTTAACATTTACAGCAGCTGACCTGCTTTCATTAAAACATGTTCATCATCAGACTTCTTGTCTTCGTACCAAAACAGTTCATCTCTGCTGTCCACCAAAGTGCTGTCAATGTTTCTGGTGTTTTGGACAAAAAGTAAATGTTTGACAAGTCCAGTTAATGAACTAAACCTAAAGACTGTTAGTGGAGCTCTACGATAAAATTAACACTGCTACATGCTCAGATAGCCTTCGACATTTTACTTTTAACCTGCAATGATAATTTCAGTTATTAGTTCATCATATTGTGTATTATTAATCTGAATCCACAAAATAACTAAAGTAAAAATAAATATAGTTGAGTACAAGTACCTCAAAACTGTATTTGTTAAACTGTGTTCAAACTATAAAATATTAAAATAGTTATAATCCAACCCTCCCTGTGGCAGGGAAATGATTGCAACATCCTGCTCGGATTCTAACAGTCTTTATTGTGTCCTGACAGTAAATCATACAGTATATTGTCGGTTACTAGACAGTGACGCAAATCTTTTACAGGATGTTACGGTTTGATGATTGTGTCATCTTGCAGAAGATAAGATACAACCATTTCTGGAAACTTGTCTTTGGCTTCACCAGGTTCATTAAAAACATCATAACACAGGACACATACGACCATTACATTTGAACACAGGAACCAATAAGAGCTTCAAGTAGACCAGTTATCAAAATACAGATAAAAAAAATCATAAAATCATTTTTAAAAAGGTTTTTTGTTGCCCTGGGTACCCTATAATGCCTTCCCGAGGGGAGCTTGTCAAATTCAACAAACAGGGAATGTTTGCAAATGAAAGGTACCAACAACAACACTGGTAGAACACGCAGCTGGGTTCAGGTCCAGGAGAGTCTGCTGCTGCTCTGGGCTTAACGCAACACACACAGAGCTGACAAACAGTCTGATCTGTTATGTAGTCTGTAGCTTTTCCTGCTGGGGCTAGTTTGCTTTATTAACTATTAATTGAGTGAACCCCAAAATGTTTTGTCAGTTTATTGTTTTAACAGATTTACTGTTAATTAGATCAAACCTTCAGAGTGACTCATGTTTTTGGATCTTCGTTCAAACTGAAAATTGAATGCAGATTCAGAAGCTTTTTTAAAACTACTTTAACATATGGCTGCCTTGTTTTCATGAATCTAAGTGAACACACACTTACACTTCCTCAGACAGATTTCAGCCTCTGCTCTCCACCATGTTCCACCCTGGAGAAATAAACAAAGTCAGAATGAACCTTCAGAAGCTTCCTCATCAGTGATCTTCATAAAACTTGACTCAGATCCACATTAAGACGAAACAGCTGCATTTATAAAACACACTTCACACAAAACTCTTAATCAAAATAAAAGAAAACATCCAATAAATCAAGACAAAAAGCTAAAAGTTAGTGGTCAACAGATGGACTCAAAAGTTGAATAAAATCTCACATCTTCTTCATCCTCTTCTTCATCAGCAATCTTCAGAACACTTCCCTCAGATTCACCCACAGACTGTAGGATCCACCATTAAAACAAAACAAATGCATTTCTAAAACACATTTCACACAGACCCAATTAACTTTACATGCAATATTTAAAAAATAAAAAGGTCTGACAAAAAGGAAATATCAAAAAAATAAAGATCAACACAATAATTACGTGCAGTTAAAAAGGGCTACTACCGTACCACCGTGAGTCATATATTAGGAAATATTTACCTATTTTATTTAGTTCAGTTTGACTGATTTACATTTACATTTAATGATTTTGCTGACGCTTTTATCCAAAGCAACTTACAATTGCTATATATGTCAACTCATTACTTGATTCCTGAAAATTTTAAATTGCGATACACATTACCACCAAAAATAAGAAAGGCAAAACAACAAAGAGGCAAGCTTCTGCCTGGTGGTTACCTAGTCAGGGCGTTCAAAAGCAAAACTCCAAGCGACTGTAGCAGTTACCCAGTCAAGGCACAACATACAGCAACAAACACAAATGAACTAAACAAAGGGGTGACCACTACACTCAAAGGCACTAGATATACATTTACCTCACTTCACGGATGTTTGATCCCAGACGAGCCTCCATTTGTTATGCTATTATTAATAATAATAATAATACATTTTATTTATAGCGGCCTTTCAGAACACTCAAGGTCACCTCACAAACCACAAATAAATCGATAAAACTAACAGCAAATATAATTACAGTGCATAAAATCAGGGTAAATTAAAAATTGGAAACAAAAGATTGCCGTGACCAGATAAACAGTGATTATGTTGGAAATGCCAGTTTAAAAAGATGTGTTTTCAGGCGTGATTTACAGGTGGAAAGCGATTCAATGTTACAGATGTCTGGTGGAAGACAGTTCCAGAGAGGAAGCAGATAGATGATGAACAGACAGGGTATGGCTCTGATTTGAAAGTTCTGAGTTGGATGAGTGCAGCCAGAGAGATATGATTTAAACCAGTCAAAGGGTGCAACAGTGAAACCAACAGAGACTAATCTGTCAAGGAGGATGATGTGAGAGATGGTGTCAAAGGCTGAAATTGCTGGGGTCTGCACCAGGTTTCCTAAGTGTAGGAGTTATTGCAGCTGATTTTAGAGATGGGGGAACAATACCAGAAGTGAGAGAGGAATGTATAATGATAGTTATTAGGGAGGAGAGAGAGCAGGCTTTTATCAAGAGCTTTTTTACGAAGCTCTTAGGCAGCTCTATGGAGCAAACAGCAATCCATCACCAACCCAATCCAACTACAGAAAAACACCTTTAAGAGGAGGAAAAAGGAAAAACAGCACAGGAAACACAGACAGCCCTAACTAGCTGTATAGACATTCATTTCTGATTTTCATGTGAATTTGGCGAGTTGCACTCAAAGTAACATCTTGAATTCATATTAATATAAAATCTGGATTTCTTAATGTTTTTCATGATTTTTTTACAGGACATTAACCTGAAAATGTCTGAGAACAATGTAGCTAAACAGGATGTAGTTACAGTCAATTACACTTCTAACTTACTTTGTGTTAATGTTCCTGCATTT